GAGAGAAGGCTATGAAATGTAACATTAATCATGGACTGCAGAGCCCAAGACAAGAGGTGAGAAGGGTATTTTCCTCATTGATTTAAAACAGATGACACTTTCTGTACTTTAACAGAGTTGCAATGCAACATTCAGATGTGCCATGAGCTTACCAGCTCACCATGACCCAGCAAAGCTCAAAGATCCAACATCTTGGCTCATCCCACTCAACCTGCATGACTTCTGTCATGGATCTCCTCTGAACAAGAGTCCCGAGCACATCCCAGGCAGCAGTTTAAAGTTTTCCCTTGATGCCTTGGGTATAAGCGGTGGGAACAGCTATGCACAAGGCAAAATTTGGGGAGTACACACAGACGTCTCACATCTCTAACTTTCCAGTCTTCTCTGCACCAGGTTTTAGTGGAGGGAGGACCTAAACCAATCATTTTATATGCCCTGGATTGCAACAATCGCCATGGCTCTGCTCCCCTACCCAAGACAAGTGGACTTCACTATCTAAGAGATTGAGGATATGAATGCCTACTGTCATTTTAGTACATTTTAATAAGTTGCCACTCCTCAGATGTAATGTAGCAATTGCCAGGACAGAAAACCACTGCAACACTGTGTTGGATGTTAAAGCAACCTGTCTATTTTGCACTGCAAAGGACACGATCACTAACTGTATCTCTGGAAATGAAGCAGGAACTGACAGCTGAGGGGTTACAATTTATATTTCATTGCAAAATATATTGCAAAATTTCAGACCACGTAGGTTTTCCAATGCTGACCAGAGACATCCCCTTACACCTTTTGAAAATAAGGCCTAACATGTTGCTGTCTTTTGTGGAAGCACAGCTTCTTCCCATTTTTGCAAAGACATTAGAGTCAGTTTGAGCTTGCAATCAGATACATGAGGCTCTAGCCCACTATTTTTAGCACTTAATGGCAAAGCTAATAGTGCCATTAATCCACTTTGGTATATAACATTCAATTTCCACTTCAGATTGCATCTCAGTGCAAATGGTAGCTTGATTCCTGCTGTCAGATACATTCAGAAATTCACAATGCAACTTATTTAATGACTTACTCTCAGATGCAGCTGAGAGGTGGGGAAATCTGTAGTGGTCTTTTGAAACAGCGTGGCAACGAGGAATGGAGGATTCTGGAGCTGATATTTACAGGACTAATGCAGTATATTGCTGAGACTTAACCAAATGGGGAAGACAGGACTGGAATGTAAATGGCAAAGCACTCCTATGAATTAGTTTATATGTGGGTGCCTAAAATATAAGTGCCCCTCCATCACCAGGTAATCCAGAGCCAAGCCCAGAAGGATGCTATTCCTCCAGAGTGAGCTCTCCTCCATGAATGGGAGCCCTGCCTTTGATCCTGTCCTCACCCCGAGAGGATACAATCTCCACCTGCCACTTCACAAGACAGTACCCGAGGACAGAGCTGGCAGGGAGGGACATCTGTCCAGCCTTGCAAAGGCGGGCTCCTCCTCAGTTGGAAAGACAATGTTTACAAGGCCAGCGATAGTCATTATGTCTTGAAATCACTACCTTGAGTGCACTCCATCGGCTTGAGAAAGATGGCAAGAAGCAACTGGAGCTCACTCCACAAAAAAAGATAGCCACTCTAAGCTTAAAACTATAACTGCTACACTTGAACACAGGGAATATCTTTTCCCTGCCATGGGATTAGAGGCATGGGAGAGAGAGTTTGTTGGTTTAAGTTACCTGCTTTCAACTACATCACTGTGAATTTAGGGAGACACTTTGAGAGACCAATTAGGATCTTTAAAATGTTTCTGGACAATTTGGTGGGCAAGTCCCTAGCTATTTCTTCACATCAGAATTACTGCACTGGATATCATCCTTGTAAAGGTATCATCTGGAGTTTGAATTTAAGATTTGTTGCCTCTTGGTATTGAATTATGGGTGCATGATAATAATTCTGTGGCCTCAAAATGAAACTGGAGAATATTTGTGACTTTTTGAGCTAACAAACCTGTAATAGAAACCCTAAACATTAGTATACAAGACACTGTATGGCTTTGATTCTAAAGTACTTCTGCAAAAACATGAGTCATGAAGTATACAGACATCAGTGAGTGCTTGCAAAAAAATGAAACTAAGAAAATTCACTACAGAGATATAGTGTGAGTGAATAATGTGCAAGGGAAACCTACCTTATGTTTGCCCATTAATATATGATAACTGAAAATCTCCCTGGTCCTGCACAGGCTTAAGATCAGTACAATTCCAGTTAAGATCAGTCATGGTGGGCTCCTGTGAGAAAAAGAAGCTGCTGGGGAGAAGGATTACTTTTGAAAGAGTAAAGAAAGGAAAGAGCACATGGGAATTTGTTTCATTTCTCCAACAGAGATGTCTAGCCGGGCAGCTCTTCTAGTACAGGTGCCCAAGGGTGCATGGGCCTGCTGAAATGCTGGAGACAGACCCAGCAACCCAGTAACATGCTGGGTCAGACCAACTCGTTCCACAGCTCTGTGTTCACACGAACTGCCCATGAAGGTTACTAGACGAACCTTTGTCCAAATAGGTCTGATATCAGAACAGTCCCATGTACCCAGCATCTACTCTTAGGAATAAAGGACTTTTCAGAGATTTAAGGGATGATGAGAAACTTCAAGAGCAGTTAGATCAGAAGGCTTCAGGCTGTTGGAGATGCTACCAAGGAAACCAGACCAACATTAATTGTCCATTCTCATGAACTGGGCAATAGTATTAAAAAAGAAAAAAAGAGAGGGGGGAGAGAGGGGAGAGAGGGGAGAGAGGGGAGGGAGGGGAGGGAGGTTTAACTGAGGCAATTCAACTTGAAGAACTGTCCTTGAAACCAATGCTGCCAGAGATGGTTTGGAAATTGAATTCAGCTACAAATTAACTTCCGTGTAACTGGTTTAATAAGCAGCTGAGCCTCTGGCCCTCCTGGGATGACCCTTCTCTGCCAGTACAACATAGTACACTTCTGCAGACAGGGAGAAGGGGAGAAAAAAAAAAAAAAAAGATCAACTTGCAAGAGCTGGTTAAGCCTTTAGGCTGACTAAGATCCTTCAGCAGAGGTGGAGAGTCATGATGCAGAGAGAGCATGGTGTGGAGACTCACACCTGCACTTTGCTTCACTTGTGAGCAAGGAATTTCAGAACCAAAATAAACAAACAAATCCCAAACCATTTCTGGGCAAGGAATGAAATCCCTGGGAGCTTGTCTCTGATGAGACCAACGTTATATAGCTAATGACAGCCTTCGGAGCAGCCCAGCAACTATATCGCGGGCATACGATTTGCACCCGCACCCCATCTGTGGTACAGCTCACCCTCAGGTGGTTGCCTTTAACCGCGAGGTCCAAAGCCCAGGTGAGCCCAGGACATCCTCAAGGGAGGCATTATCTGGATTCAGCTCAGGGCTCAGCCAGCTCGTTCGAACCAGGCAAGAGGAGCTCTGGCTCTGGGCAGGAGAGGAGCAGAGACCAGGAGAGCGTAGGGGCACCCTGCCTGCCCCTGAACCCCCCCCCCCCCCCCCAGGTGCCTGCCCCTGCTCACTCCCACGGGCAGGACCCGGCTGCCGAGAACAGGCATAAAGTTTTGCTGGATGAAAATCCCTTTTTTCGGACGAATTCGCTATCTGCAGAGGGCGCCAGACCGTTTCGGATCTGCTGGTGGAGCCAGCGGTGGGGATGCAGTACCTGGTGTTTGCAGCTGTCAGTCAGAAAGGTGCTTGCTCTCTAATGGCCAATGCTCTGCACGGAGGATGTAGTAGGAGTTGGTTTTTTCTTTCATGCATGTATAAATCCCTTAGTTCTCTTTGCCTTTCTTGCCACTGAAATAGCAACAGATGCTTCGCTGAGCTGCAACATGCTGGCAACAAACCTGCACCAGCCCCAGCAGAGGATAGCAGATGAGAAAACTCCCTGCTTTTCATCATCGGGAGAGCTAGAACCAGCAATGTGCTGCTGCTGCTTTTTCCCTTCAGAGAAAATTCTTTGATGCCTGCAAGATTTGAAGCTCACTTTCTTATACAGGAGAAGAGCAGCCTGTGATTGATGCAAAACTCACTATAAATGCTGATTTTTTTATGTTTCTACTTGTAAAAGTGACTAAAGAAAAGTCCTGCTCGATTCCCTCCCATGTGCACAGCCACAACTTGGAAGGACTCCTTTTCCTTTTTCTTTTTTTTTCCCTCCCCTTCTTTTTTCTTTTTTTTTAAACCTGCACTCTATCAGTCCATAATCACTTGTGAATTGAACCCCTTTGCTGACAATGAATACCACACACTTTGCCTTTTCATTTCAGCCTGTGCTGCTTAATGTCACTGAAGACTTCAATGACTCAACTCTGAGCAACAGAAGCAGCGATGGATTTTGTGAGCAGGTCTTCATAAAAGCTGAGGTCTTCTTGACTTTAGGGATCATCAGCCTCCTGGAAAACATCCTTGTCATTCTTGCAGTGCTGAAGAATGGAAACCTACATTCTCCCATGTATTTCTTCCTTTGTAGCTTGGCTGTGGCAGATATGTTAGTGAGCATGTCAAATGCCTTGGAGACTATCATGATTGCCATCCTGAGCAACGGCTATTTGATCATTGATGACCACTTTATTCAGCATATGGACAATGTTTTTGACTCAATGATTTGTATTTCTTTGGTAGCCTCAATTTGCAACCTCTTGGTTATAGCCATTGACAGGTACATAACTATTTTCTATGCTCTCCGTTACCACAGCATCATGACTGTGAAGAAAGCTTTAACCCTGATTGTGGTCATTTGGATTGCTTGTATCATCTGTGGCATCATATTCATTGCCTACTCAGAAAGCAAAACTGTCATTGTCTGTCTCATCACCATGTTCTTTACCATGCTCTTTCTCATGGCGTCCCTCTATGTTCACATGTTCTTGTTTGCACGCCTGCACGTTAAGCGGATTGCAGCCCTCCCCGTGGATGGGGTGCCCTACCAGCGTACCTGCATGAAGGGAGCTGTCACCATCACTATATTACTTGGTGTCTTCATTGTTTGCTGGGCACCTTTCTTCCTTCACCTCATTCTCATCATTTCTTGCCCAATGAATCCATACTGCATCTGCTACACTTCACACTTCAATACCTATCTGGTCTTGATAATGTGCAACTCAGTAATTGATCCACTCATTTATGCTTTCCGGAGTCTGGAGATGAGAAAGACTTTCAAAGAAATAGTGTGTTGCTGTTACGGCATGAGTGTGGGACAGTGCATGCTGTAAACATCTGGCTTTGTGTTGACAATAGAGAGGATACACACAATAGGTGTATAAATATATATTTATCTAGATACATAGCAGCTCCACTTTAAAAGCAGTATCTGAAGGAAGGACACAGGAAAAAAATAACCTTCTGCTTGATGCCTTGATTCACACTTTTCAAAATGAAAACCAGATTCAACCAAATTATTTGAAAGTATTTAAATAGTTATAACAGAAGGAAATCCAGAGTGGCTTAGAAAATAGCTTAAGAAACTTACTGGAAAAATGAATCCTGAAAGGGAATACTACCTTATAGAGACTGAAATAATATTCTCTCTACCATTCATTTGTACCTGTTGCTTTATCTCTGTGCCACTATCAACACGTCAGTGTTTCCTAAAAGATTCCATTAGTTACCTCTACGGAAAGCTATTCACTTGCAAGACAGATCCAAACACCAGCAGGTAACAGCATTGCTCTACGCTTACTCCTATGCCTCCACCTTTTATTGAAAGAATAGATTGATATTTATGCTGCTTGCTGTAAAGCAACCTGAGTAAAATTTTTGAAGGGTGAAAGTAAACATTCCTCTTGCACTGAGATATTCTTTCAATAAAAATCGCTTAAGTGAAAAGGAACAGCTACTGTATCAGTGATAGTGTAACTTAAACAGCTACCTGATAGAAGTGACTCTATGAAGAAGGCATTTACATTACTTATTGTGATACAGGAGTATTATATCCTCAATTTTTAATTTTTTTTTTAACTGGAATGCACTGATTAATGTAGTGTTTTGTATGTTAATAAGTCACAGAAATCTCCTTTTGATAAATCGTCACCAATGAGACCCATTCTTAGAAAATTTTGAACACTACACAGATCTGAACATAATGAATAACTAAAATGCAAAATAGTTTGAATTTAGCTTTGTGTAAAAGCTGCATGGGGTCTTTAGAGATATCCATTTGGCTAAGTTAGGTACCTGAAAGAAATAAGATGCGTATGGCAGATACGACTTCTAAGCATTGAGAAATGTATGTCATGGGTCAGTCACTTTTTACTTAACGAGCTTTACACTGAGTTCAGTGGATGGACACTCCTGCACTAGAAACAAGAAAGCACTATGCTATCTGCAATCATTTTCAAACTCTTTGTGCAAGTTAGTGGCATGTAAAGCATGCAACTTCAGCTACAATAATTTAGGGTTTGCCTCTGCTTTTTATGGGAATAAACCATGTAAGTGGCCTTCAAGTAGCATATTGTAACTGAGCAAAGGCTGCCACGATTTGTGTATAATACAGCATACAGGCAGTATCACAGACCATGCCAAACTAAGAAAACTCTAAGCCATTCTAAAGTGTACTTAGCACCTTTCTGGTATCTCACTTTTAGGAGGGGCAGTAACCCAAAACCTTCAGGGTTGTCTATTGCTTTCAAAAATCCAAAAGATCTCATTTGACTTCAGACTATTATTTTTTTTCCCCTCATTTGAGTGGAGTTGCTAGGTGGTTGTTATTTCTGGGGCTCCCCTCTGTCAGTTTAGGAAGAGTTATCCAGACCAGAGCTTCCCAATCTAGTCTGCCTCCAGTTCTGCCTTCACACACTAGTCCTGGTACAATCCAGGCTGATACTGTTTCACTGCTACTGGCTCCAGAACCCAGCTCTGACTGTCTGTGGGGAAGATATGTCCACAGTTTGCAAATACTGGCCCATGTCTGACTGTGTTTTATTCTCAGCTTCCTACAACCTTATGGAGTGTATAATTTTCATGGGGCCAAGAACCATCTCTCCCTGTGCTCTAGCCACACTCTGCCCACCAGCCCAAACCAACCTCATGCTATTTCCCTTGCCCTCTGATCACACCCTAAATTCCCTAATCGAGTTCTCATTTCCTCCCATAATCCCATCCTCCAGACTTCCACCTTCCCAACACTCTCACTGTTTCAACACTGACCTGATGTCATAACCCTTAATTTTTAAAAAAACTAAACTAAAAAAAGCCACACCAAGGCCACCATCGAGCATGTGGCAGAACAGGCACAGATGAAAACTCTCCCACGTTTCAGGTAGAGACCAGAGAAAATCCCAACAACTGACAAGTAAGCTAAATCTGACTGCTTTCAGCCTTATCTGTCTCACAACTTACAGTTTGGCAGTACTAAGATCTGTTCTGTTGGTTCAGCCTGTCTTATTTCTGCAACACCTGATGTGGTGCATTAAGATGAACTGAAACAAATCAGCATAGGAAACCACACAACTGGCCTTTCGTGCTGTGGAAAGACTGTACCTACCTGTTGTGAAAAACTCTACCTGTTGTCAGTGTTATGTACCTTTATACACTTGAGCATGGTTTGCTACAATGTTCTGCCTCAGCTTATTGCGTATTTAGCTTTTATTGCACCTGATGTCCTAGTTATTTCTCTTTTTGAAAGTGATTTTAGATGAGACTGATTCATACTGTGCTTTGCCTTTAAGCAAAAAATACATCTGTTGAATAAAACAATCTGAAGACATCACTCAGCATTGTGTTTGTTTCTGTCACAGCACCATGCCATGTCAAACCACAGTCCTGGTGGTCTGGGTCACAAAACTAGAAATAGAGTCTAACACTGGGCAGAAACCTCCTAATTCTACATGCTGTCCACAGAGCTACACAAAAAAGGAGCAAAAAAGCCAGACTTCTCCATCCCACAGGTAAACAGCACGGAAAGAGAATCCATAAAATCCCCCAAAGTTCTCTCATACTTTCTGGCACCAGCCCGTGAAGGTGCAGCTCCTCCCCACAGGTTATCCATGGGGATGGATGGTGGGTTTACCCAGCCTCAGTTCCAGATTCACAACTCTTAACTCATACATTGGAAATCCATGGTGCAGTCTCCTGCATGGAGCCGGGATGGTAGCCATCGCAAGCCTGTCTGTGATGGGAAGGGAAAGAAACAATCTCCATGGGACTGAACCCCACAATAGGAGGTAGTAAATGAATACTAATAGCTACAGCTCCAGGTGTGAAAAGGAATTGAAGGGAAGGACAGGACTGCACTCTAAAGAAATATCACTGCAATCAATTGCTGTAGGACAGATCTTTACGCTCTACGGAGAAGGCAGTCCTGGAACGGGTGTTCAGCCATCCTCAGGCCTCAGGGACAGAGCTGAGGCTCAAGTCAAGACTCATCTAAGAGACACACAAGGACTGGAATGTCAGCAGAAGCCCCCCAAAACTGTATCATTTCCCAGCAGCAGTGCACCCTATAGATGTGTACATACAGCAGAACAAAGACTTCGCAGCAACACATGCTGGTATAGGGCAGCAGTCCTTAACATATGCTAGTAACCAGAGCAACATTCCTATCTGCTGAGAATCTGCCCCTGTTTATAATTGCAGCGAAACATGAACACTTCGATTTGTTACTATTAAGCTAATGTATAAGACAGTCATAAGAAGTGTTTCTTCCCTGGTAAGAGTGCTGGGCTGAACAAGATAATGGCAGTCTGAAATAATACCCTTTTCATCTAAAGGTGCCATTTATGTGGATTTAATGATTCAGTTTTTCTGCAAGAAAATCAGGCAGTTCATGAGCACTGTGGGATTATCTTTTGCTCAAAGGCTTGTTAGAAAACCCTCATATATTCAGACAAATATTTGAATTTGCAGGGGCATGAGTTATCCCGCTAAGTCAACTCAACACAGCATATTCTGCAAATTACAGCCAGGTTTCTTCTTTCATAAAAAATTCAGCACTATGCATGCAATTCCCATCAATAAGTGTCTAAATAGTTTATAATTGAAAGCATTTGTCTTAATGGATAAATAACAGAATTCTGCAGACAACCAAGCTCATCAGTAGAGCCATTAGTACAAATACCTTGACTACCTCTTCACTGAAATAAGATGTTTCTATTTGTTGAAGCCTAGTTTGGGACCAGGGTTAGCTGTCTGGTTTGATAACTATACCTAAACCATTAAGGTGATTTTGAAGCTCACCCACAAAGGAATATTGCTTCACAACATACACTGGAAATCCCTTTGCTAGGCAACCCAGCCCCATCTCAGTTCCATGCCTCTGAGACAGTATGAGAGAAACCAGGTAACATGGGCACCGAGACACCCAGCATGGGTATAGCAGATGCAACAGTTCCAGAACAGCTTGTTCCTTCCTGTCTCCACCATCCAAGAGTACAGGCAAGCTGCACTCAGGCCGACTAATATAAGATGATCCCTTCTGAATAAGGCATAGAAATTTGGACAGCATTCAGTGGGCTACAGGGTGCACGGCAGGGGCAGGAGAGCTAACATAGCTTGTATTAGCAATCTGAAGGTCAGCTCCAGATATCGCTGTAAATGTTGCTACCAAGTCACAACAGGGCTCTCCGGTGTTCCCTTTTCAGAAGAGCTCTGGGTACAGGCATGAATCTAACTTTTTATCACCACTATAACACAATGCCAGTGTTCAATAGGATTTCAGGTGGAAGGCAGAGGAAAGAAACAGCTTTCCAAGAACACTGCAAAGACTAATAAAAATTCCTGTCCATATATATCTCCATGAAGAACATTCAGATGGTGCTGTTCTGCTCAGTTTTGAAGGTTAAAACTTTAAAAGTTAAAATACAGCCTTGTTTTTAAGCAGTTCAGTTAATAATGTACATTAAGTGGACAGAGGCATTGAGGAAGGAAGGTAAAGCAGATTCTTAAGGTCAGAGCTACGGGTGAAGCCCATTTACACAGGGGAAGCTCACTGGACTGGGAGCAGCGCAGCATCACAGCTGCACATTTCATTGTGTTCTTTCCTAAGCTGCCATGTAATGGGGTCACAGCTCAAGTCAGACTTTACACTGATGAATGAAAATAGGCTCTATCAGATTCACTCCAAAGAGAAAAACATAGCTTTTGATGCTTTATATGTGCTTGGAAAAAAAGCAATTTTATTCTTCTTGTTTAAAATTAATTTTTCCAGAAAGAACAAGCATAGGGAAGCTTGCTCCAAATCTGCTTTTCATAACCATCCACAACCTTAATATCATCA